GAGGCGGGTGTGGCCGTGTCAGGGAGCGCAGCGGGAGCTGCCGGGAGCGGGGGGAGGCAGTGACCCCCGCACGCACCTTCCCGCGAGGTAGTTTCGCCCGTTTCCAGCACCGAGCCACGGCAAAGCTTCCAGAAGTGCAACACGCTCCCTTGCATCGGAAAACCCCGCAACTCCCTTTCCCCTGTCCTTCCGTGGTCCAAACCCACACCGGTCCCATCTCGCTAAACAAAACCTGTGATACAAGTGCCCCTGGTTCCTCTTTTCAGATGGTTTCTCAATTTTTTTTTGTTTGGTTTTTGGTGGGTTTTTTAAGTTATTTAACAGGACTAAAGACGGTTTACATTTTTCATTCCTTCATCAAATGTATATTGTTTACATATAATGTCGTTTAATATACGTTTTCAGTACTTTTAAGTTTATCCCTTTTTACCCCTCTTTTATCTTTGTACATTTTGTATGTTTCTGTAATATTTCTGTAAATTAAAGCAAAAAACCTGCATCTTCCCTACGTGTGTTTTTTTTATTTTATTTTTACTTTTTCATCTAATTACACAAACTATTTTAAAATAGTGAGCCTACCCCCTCTTACTTGCCAGCTCTCACAAAGTTCTAAAGACTACAGATAAGTAGCACATGAGGGAATTCCAAAAACTGCAAAAATATACGCCGAAAAAAAGAAAGGCCTTTAGAAGGCGCTTTCTACACAGTAAAAACAAAGGCACCGCAGGAAAGGCGGTTCTGCCCAGAGGCGGGATTTTTAAACTTTGAATCCACCAATGAGACGTGTCAGGTGTCCATCCGCCTATCAGCAAAAGGCACAGGGCCTATATATACAGCTCTTCCCCGCCTCGGACCTATCAGTGCGTCGGCGTGTTTGAGGCTGTTGCAGTCGCTTGTCAGCGATGGCCCGTACGAAGCAGACGGCGCGCAAGTCGACGGGCGGGAAGGCGCCCCGCAAGCAGCTGGCCACCAAGGCGCGGGCGCTGCTGACCCGCAAGCTGCCCTTCCAGCGGCTGGTGCGCGAGATCGCGCAGGACTTCAAGACCGACCTGCGCTTCCAGAGCTCGGCCGTGATGGCGCTGCAGGAGGCGAGCGAGGCCTACCTGGTGGGGCTGTTCGAGGACACCAACCTCTGCGCCATCCACGCCAAGCGCGTCACCATCATGCCCAAGGACATCCAGCTGGCCCGGCGCATCCGCGGCGAGCGCGCCTGAGCTCCCTGCCGCAGCCTCTTCCCGGTTCGGGCAGGCACCGAGAGCAGCCCACACAGAAACAAAGGCTCTTTTAAGAGCCACTACATAGACGTTAAAAGAGCTGTAATGCTTTTAGAGTAGTATCAAGTTCGTGCTAAAGTTTTAGGAGTAGCATCGCCTTACCATGCATTCTTAACCTGTGTTACAGAGAGAACAAACCTGAGATCTTCAGCTCCTAACTTACAGGTACATAAATTTAGTACTGATTTTGTCGAGTTTCCTTTTTTACAGTAATTACATCAAAATGTATTGGTGGGTGTTGTAATGAATTTGAACTGGAAAGTGATATAAAGGCTAAAATTTTTTTAAGGGTATTAAGTACTTAACTTTAAACTCCACTTAGACTGGAATACGGTGGACACACTGAAAAGAAGCCCCATCTTTATTAAAGACTTTAAAAATCCTCACCATTATTACTACATTAAACTACATGAAAAGCACTGGCAGCTCCTACATTGCCGCCCTCTCTTACTCCCTTTCTCCCTCTGAAAGGCCGCCTGTTCTTCAGGCACCGCTGTCGACCCCGTTCCTCCCACCCTGCGCCCTTGGCTTTTAAAGGCAGCTACATATACAATAAAAGAAGCTGTAGCACTTTGAATCGGGCACAGATTGGAAACCTTTTCGAGTTGTGTTTGGTTTTTGTTTTCAGGTGATAGCATTACATTTTATGGATTCACTGTCTCTTGTCTATTTTTTTTTTTCATTTCTTGTTGTACTACATTGCCTATGTATAAACGTGTCTTTTACATACCCTACAATACTCAGATATTTTTTTCGCTCTGCAACTCACCAGAGCACTTTGCAAATATTTAAGAGGAGCAACAGACACTTTGGTACCGTGGACAACAAGTAGAGGCAAAATTTGCAAAGAGGGGACTTGTGAGGTCAATGTGTTAGTTTAAGGACAGAGAGCAGAGAACATGGGGAAGCTGGAAACAGCTATGAAGGGGACTGGGGATGGGACAAGACTTGGCTCTGTCTGCAACGAGTCCCCACTGAGCTCTCTGGAATTGTGTTACTGTTGAACCTGGCTAAGGTACTTTGTTTTAAAGGGGGCATTAAAGCCGAGAGCAAAAATATTGTCTCAAAATATCAGTTTTGAGGCCGATTTCAAAATCTTGCTGGACTAGGCTGAAGAGATTGGACACAACTGGCTTATTTTTCAAAGCACAAAAACATACCTAAAAAAGCCTAGAAACTCTGATCAAAAAGTTCTATACACAGGAATAACGATAAATTTTGTCCAAGTACAATAATATATATATTTATTTTTTTTTCTTCTGGTTGAGCAGGGAAGTTTACGTATTTTCTGAGGATTTTTTTTTTGATTTTTTTTTTTCCCCAGGGGTGGAGGGGGCAAGGAGGAGGTATATTCAATAGTTTGTAAAAATCTTTAAGTGAAAATTTACATATGTTTCTAATAAAAAAGATGTGTGTGTTTGTCTTTGAGGTTGCACTTCTCCAGGTGGTGATTATGAGATTTATAAGCAATTAGAAAATCTGCCGAGTTTTAAGGTTTCTCCAGTCAGATTTCTAGGATTCTTCAGGAGATACTAGCAGGATGTTCATATACATGTATGTAGCTTTCAAACTTCTTTATAAGGACCCACCTTTGCTTCAATCATTACCATGAGACATGCACACAGGAGTCACCAGTCTAACAAGATCCTGAGCATGAAAACAGAAAGTTAAACATTAGGCCTCAGATTCAAAACCAAGAGTAGTTTTTGTTTCTCCCATTAATAGGGGAAACATCTCCATGTCTTCTCCCAGTCTGCAACTGCTCAGAGCTGGTACCAGGGGTGCAGTAGGTCCTGAGAGCTGGGCAGCACTGAGGGGACCAAATAGAAGGCCTAGGGGTGGCCTTGTGTCATTAAAGGCTCCCAAGCACCGTTTGTGTGTTTTCCCTTAGAGGTGTTTGCTGCACTATCGACACAATCTGTCAGTCAGCATTTTGATGGATGAGAAAAGAAAGCAGAAAGACTTGCTGCATGTAGCAATTAACCAAGATTAAGGTTTGTTTGGGGGTTTCTTCCTCTTTTTCTTCTCTCTCCCCCCCCAACATAAAGTGCCTGAATGAGTTTGTAGATCCTTATGACCTTGTTTTGAGACCAAGTTCCAGTGGAAGTGGAGCAGCACATTGTTACCAAGTGGTGAATGGATTGGCTGTGCAGTCTGTAATGCTGTGCTGAACTTAGGAGCCACTCTATTTATTTATTTACAGTCTTTCAAACAGAATATATACTTTTTTCTTCCCACTCCCCGATAGATTTCACTTCTATTTATTTGTATGTAAATTAAAGCCTTTCTGGGTTTTTAGTGAATCAGAATAGAAGAAGCCTAAATGATACAGAAAGAAAATATTAGCAGGTTTTTGGAAATGAGGGTTTTATATTATAGTATAGCTAATATTTCTCCTTGTCTTATGGAATTAGTCAAGAAGCTCAGAGAGTGTTTTCATGTAAATCACCAACCTGGCAGAAAAGACTTAAAGTCTATATACCGAAGAAATGCAGGAGGTGATAAAGAATTTTCACTGCAAATGTGGAACAGTGATTGGGTAACCACTTTAGTGTATTACAGGAATTAACTGTATAAAGGAGAAGAGCATCATTCCCAAGCAGCCTGCTAAGATTGGAACACCCCTGCTGGACCTCTGGGTGGTGACTTTCCTTTAACTTTTTACTTCCTTTTCTGATCTTTCTCCTTTGTATTTTAGGATTAGTTATCATATCTATTAGAAGCTTATTACAAATATATAGTTAGAAAGCTTACCAGCTGATCTGCATCTAAATAAAAGCCTATTTATGCACCCGATATTGTATTATCGTTTTGCCCTGACATGATAGCAAAGAATCTCCACATATCCAGCTATCAGATTGTGACAGCATAATATGAGAAAAGAGTCTTCACTTACAGCCTGGGGAGTGAAGGAAACCTTCCATTATGCCATAAAAGTTCTGTGGTCTCCTAAAAGTCAGATTACAGAAGCATAAACTCATTCCTTGCTTCTACTACGTCAGATGTTCTAGATCATACTTAACCAGTAAAAAAACAAAAAAGGTACTCTGACTTGATTCTAGCAAGTACCACTTTGTTAACACTGTAAGATCCTACCCAGTCCTTTTTAGCAATTTTACAGGCTAGAAAGGATACAAGACCTGGGAACACAGACTACATAATAACTACATATTGGTCATGATTAATAATTTCCTCATTCACTTTAGAGAGCAGATTCCATAGTGTGGTATGAGTGAGGGTTCTTGGCAGGGTCTAGATGTGCAGTAGATAAGAAGGCACCACTGCTTGTTTCAATAAAGCTGTTTTTTGCTCACCCCATGACCTCACTTTTTTTTACAATTGTAACAAATCTCAGGCTTTTGGCCATTGTAACTTTTGCTAAGTGGTGCCTAGATACAAATTTATTTCAGTTGCTGCCAATGTAAACCAACAGTTAGAATCAGGATGGAGCCTAATGGAGTCTTAAAAGACTGTAGCTACACATAAGATTAATTTTATCATTATCATCATATAATTCCTTTAAAATTACACTTGCAGGTCCAGTCTCTGCTCTTCCAGCTGAAGCACTTTCATGGTCAAATTTATAAAATCATCACTTACTCTGCAAGTGGTGATGTTCAAAGAGATTAATAGACTAGACTACACTAGAAAAAGTGACCTACAGTAATTACCAACTGCAAAGTAGCTTCTTTCATTTGCTCTACTATGTAATTTTTCTGCAGCCACACACACACACACACACACACACAAAAAAAAAAAAAAAAAAAAAAAGAAAGGCCAGATTTAAAAAGCCAGTTGGCACAAGGGTAGAGGGGACTGGAAAAAACAAAGATGGATGGATACTAAAAAGAATTTAAATTAATGAGTGAAGCAAAATAATATATATGTGTGTATATACATATGAAATAAGTACATTTATGTGTATAAATATGTATTAATGTGATTATGCTACGAATATTACTTGTATGTACTGTTTTACCCACCTGTGTAATATTTCAGAGACACACCCTATACAACTTCTTGTCCCAGATGCTGTGCTCAAATATCTGAATGTTCATTTCAGACTGATTTGTCTGGTAACATTTACAGGAAGTGTGTGGGACAGGCCTGACTGCACTATCGAGGGCAGAATAGGAGGTTCTGTGACAATAAAGAAGCAAAAGTCATAGGAATCTTGTTGTTTTGTTTGTGAATGAAGAACTGTGACTTCTCAGAAACATTGAAACAGCTTGAGGCTAAAAGAATTTACACAGTCAACCAAGAAACTGAAGTGAACAGGAAGTCAACTCTAATTTCCTGACTACAAAATTGTATTGAATCAACTAAGTTCTAGTAAATGTTTGCCTTCTGATCCCCCCCATGAGTATTCCTCTACTATCTCCACCTTTGTTTCATCATCAAACACAAGATACTTATCCTCAATTCTCCAAACCATATAATCATGTCTCCTACAGACCTCTCAAAAGTTGCTTCCTTTCCCCCAGGCTGTTTTGGTCCTAAACAAAAGCCATGAAACTTTATCCTGAGCTGGTGATCTCCATTTATTTTGAAAATGGGAGGGGGGGGGGTGGGGTGAAACTTTCCCAAAACATCCAACAGATTCTCTTTGCTTTTAACAAGCTCTCATTCCAACCTTTGTTCAAAGACTAAAACCAAAGAAAATATAGAATATAAATTAAAAATAGGCTGATTAATAGAATTTCTTATTTTTATTCCTTGCACCAGGCTTATCATCTTAGCAAATTTGCTTTATCCATATGGTAGAGAAGTAGGACTCTCAGGTATCTAGTACGGTGTTAGGACTTCTACAGTACATAACAGTAAAAGCAATTATTATACTTCCAACAATTTTTCTTTCATAAAAAGCTGTTGGAAGCTTATCTTCAAATACTGTGAGGTTATGCCTTCCACAGTGCTTAAAAATAAAAACCTACACTGCGTAATAAAAGCTATTGCAAATGGAGTTGTATAAAGGAAGCACCAAGTCTGGGTAAGTGCACTGGGAATAATTGTAGGATTTGTGTCATAATCAGCTTTCTCCATGTTTATAAGCCTTGCCCAGTTTATTAAACAGAATACTCATTTTCATTATGTGAGATAATTTTTTTGATTTATGCAGTTACTTCTGTACAGTGGAACATGCATTTCCAAGCCACTCACAACAATAAAGAAACAAGCAAACAAAAACAAAAAAAACCCAACCAAACAAAAATAAAGCAACAACAAAAAACCCCACCACTAACAAACAACCAAACATAATAAAGCACATGTCAAACGATCAGTTTCAGGTGATTGCTTAGGAATTTTTGACAGGCACTGCAGGAACTGGACTGCAGGATCCTGCACAGATCTTTTGACTGGTGTAGAGAAAAAGCAGCAGGGCACAGAAGAGTGAACAAATTAAATCGTACGAGCACTAGTAACAAATTGAAAAGCTTATACTACCTTAAAAAGAGAACGATTAAGCCTTGTCTATAAGCTTTAAGACCGCGTTCCAGCTCTCTTGTGCAATGTGGTGGCTCTTATAAGAGCCTTTAGGGTGCGGGAACTGAGTTCAGGACGACAGAGGGTGAGGCTGCGGCAGGGAGCTCAGGCGCGCTCGCCGCGGATGCGCCGGGCCAGCTGGATGTCCTTGGGCATGATGGTGACGCGCTTGGCGTGGATGGCGCAGAGGTTGGTGTCCTCGAACAGCCCCACCAGGTAGGCCTCGCTCGCCTCCTGCAGCGCCATCACGGCCGAGCTCTGGAAGCGCAGGTCGGTCTTGAAGTCCTGCGCGATCTCGCGCACCAGCCGCTGGAAGGGCAGCTTGCGGATCAGCAGCTCCGTCGACTTCTGGTAGCGCCGGATCTCGCGCAGCGCCACCGTGCCGGGCCGGTACCGGTGCGGCTTCTTCACGCCGCCCGTGGCCGGCGCGCTCTTGCGGGCCGCCTTGGTGGCCAGCTGCTTGCGGGGCGCCTTCCCGCCCGTCGACTTGCGCGCCGTCTGCTTCGTACGGGCCATTTTACACCCCCAATTTGCTACCGTAGTTCTGCGCTTTCGGCGCTTTAACTTATAGTGCGTGAGGCCCCGCCCCCTTTCGTCTGATTGGTCGGAAAGTAAAAGAATTTCATTGGGTAACTGTAAAAACCCTGAAACCCGGTGGTAGCTGAAGGTCTCTCATTTTTCTCAGGAAAGACTGGTAGGCTTTTAAAGTTTTGTTTCTCTAGCATTTCATCCTTTTTTTCCCTTTACTTTGCAGAGAGGTTTAAGAAGTTCGTGCTTATGTGACCATGTTTTAAGTATACGGTGCTGTAACCTATATGATCTTAGCTGTCAAAACCCCCTCATGAGAATCCACGTTTTAGTTTTGTATTGAAAATAAATAATTCGGCTTGTTCGGGAAAACTTCCTTCAAAGCCTTCAAAAGACAAAATCTCTGAGCTTTTTTTACATTTATGTTAAAATAAGTAAACTTGAAAGATGATATATTGCGAATGAGAATTAAAAAGCCTTATTGTTTTAGCTTGGACAGTATTTAGTAGGAGACTGAAATTTCTGCTTGCTTGAAAATAGTTAACTCGATGAAGGCCACAGTTACTAAGGACATGCAGGTAAAAGAAAGAAAAGTATTTTTCCAGAAAAGGAAAGAGAAAGTCTGGGATTTAACTATTAGCAATCGTTTTCCAGCATAGAACGGGTTAAAGCGGGATTTTCAAATTGGCCCAATGAGAACGGCCCTTTCTATCAGCCAATGAGCGAGCAGAGCTCGGGCATAAAAGGGAATCAGAGGCGGGCGCTGAGGACAGTGTTCAGTGAGGTTTCGGCTACCACACGTAGCGTTACTAGGTTGTGTTAGAATGGCCCGTACGAAGCAGACGGCGCGCAAGTCGACGGGCGGGAAGGCGCCCCGCAAGCAGCTGGCCACCAAGGCGGCCCGCAAGAGCGCGCCGGCCACGGGCGGCGTGAAGAAGCCGCACCGGTACCGGCCCGGCACGGTGGCGCTGCGCGAGATCCGGCGCTACCAGAAGTCGACGGAGCTGCTGATCCGCAAGCTGCCCTTCCAGCGGCTGGTGCGCGAGATCGCGCAGGACTTCAAGACCGACCTGCGCTTCCAGAGCTCGGCCGTGATGGCGCTGCAGGAGGCGAGCGAGGCCTACCTGGTGGGGCTGTTCGAGGACACCAACCTCTGCGCCATCCACGCCAAGCGCGTCACCATCATGCCCAAGGACATCCAGCTGGCCCGGCGCATCCGCGGCGAGCGCGCCTGAGCTCCCTGCCCCGCCGCCAACAAACCCAAAGGCTCCTTTAAGAGCCACCACATCGCCACTAAAGAGAGCTGAGTCTCTGCTTAGCGTTTGTTTCGCTGGTTTTCTGAGCCAGCATCCATAGGCGGGGCTGAGCGCTTCTTTCCGTGTGCCAAAGCAGCGCCGATTCTCGGGATAACGCGAGTGAAGGTGCGGCCCGTAGGGAGCGAGGGGCACTCGTCCCCCTCCCGCCGGCGCGTTACCGGCTCCGCGGTTCCCCGTTCCCGGC